AGGAGCAATAGAGGCAGCTAAATGGGCACTAAAAGATGACTCTGCAACCTCTAACAAGCATAGAAGGTTCATTATTAAATGCCTGAGGTTTTGTCACAACTACTTTTGGTATGGTGATGAATATTTTTTGCAAATAAGAGGAGTTGCTATGGGCGCTAAATTCGCCCCTAGCATTGCCAACCTATACATGGCAAAATGGGAGGAGGAATATATCTACAGAAGTTTGAAAAAAGAAATACAAATATATAGTAGGTATATTGACGATATTGTCCTTATATGGGATGGCAACAAGGAAGATCTAGAGGATTTTTATGAGAACCTCAATAGGAATGAAAATAACATAACCCTGAGCTGGAACATAAGTGAAGTAACTGTAAATTTCCTAGATATACTAATGGTAAAAGAAGGCAATATGATATACACAAAAAATTCCTTCAAACAAACAGATCGCAATGCTTATATACCAACCACAAGCTGTCACTATCGTCCTTGGATCAACAATATGCCCAAAGGTCAATTCATAAGGCTCAAAAGAAATTGCACTAAAGAAACTGACTATAGAGCACAAAGTGAAGTATTAAAACAAAGACTCATAGATAAAGGATATGCCCCTGATAAAATGGAGATTGAAAGAAACACAGTAGGACATATGGATAGAGACATGATGCTAAGGGATAAACCCAAGATAAGTACAAAAAACATTGAGGTACCAGTAGTTTTGGGTTACAATAAACAATATAAAGCGGTACAAAATATCATCTCCAAACACTGGAAAGTTCTAAAGTTAGATAAACATTTAAAAGACATAATACCTGACAAACCAAAATACATATATAAGAAAGCACCAAATCTGAGAGACAGATTAGTAAAAAATATTTTGGAACCTCCTCATTCTAAGACTACCAGTTTCTTTCAGGGTGTAGGCTTTTATGCATGTGGACGTTGCTACAGTTGTAGCAGGGTTCGGAACAACCCTAGACGTAGACACACATTTATCAATACTCATAATAATAAAGCATATAAGATCAAACAATTCATCTCATGTGACACGAGAGGAGAGTTATCTATGCTTTAAAATGTCCCTGTAACCTTATATATATAGGCAGAACCAAAAGAGCTTTAAAAGAAAGGATTAAAGAACACGTGTATAACATAAATAGAGGCTACAAGTACCATCATGTATCACAACACTTTCGCCTATTTCACAACTCAGATGCTTCCCATTTACAATTCTGGGGAATAGAAAGGCACACTAAGCATTGGAGAGGGGACAACATAATTAGAGAGATTAGTAAGAAGGAGTCAAAATGGATGTATGAAATGAATTGTTTGGATCCTAAAGGCCTAAATAAGGAATTTGACTTATCCTGTTTCATCAGTAATTATTAATGAAGAGTATATCACTTTATGAGATTCCTTGAGATACATAATAGCAATAGTATGCTGCGACCGCTGTGCGCTCATGTGCGCTCATGTGGGTGGATGTGCACATGCGTGCACAGCGCTATCGCGGCATCAATCTATTCAAGGGTGATGCACAGATGGCAATGATCTCCCAGATTATTGTTGTATAATCTTCAAATAAATAAATACCCTAACATCACATATGTTTTCCTAATGTAGAGAGTAAAAATTCTAAAGATATAGAGATATGCATGTAGCATAACACTGATTTATGTATGGGTAGAGGATTGAACGATTAGATAGAAAGGGGATAAAGTTAATATATAATTTTAAACAATATTTTAAATCATTATTAAAAGTATATTTTTGTATACATATTTTTTCATTATTTTTATTTTTATTTATATTTATTTTTATTATTATTATTTCTATTTTTATTTTTATTTTTATCTTTTTTTTTTTATTTTTTATTTTTTATTATTATTATTATTATTATTTATTATTTTTATTTTTATATTAATTTTAATTTTATTTTTATATTTATTTTTATATTTTTTTTTTTATTATTATTATTATTTTTTATTTTTATTTATATTTATTTTTATTTTTATTATTATTATTATTTTCATTTTTATTTTTATTTTTATTTTTAATTTTATATTTATTTCTATTTTTATTTTTATTTCTATTTCTATTTTCATTTTTATTTTATTTTTAATTTTTTATTTCTATTATAAAAAACATTTATTTTTTATTATTTATATCATTTTAATTTTTCTCTCCTTGTAATAAATAAAATAAGTTTCTTCTTGCATTAATATTATTTTTTTATATAATTTAAAAGAATTGATTAAAAGTTTTTTTATTTTTTGTGGCACAACAAATACCATAATTATTAATATGTCCAAGTAAAGGTTTTTGTCCAAATAATTATTGTATTAGATGGTGTCCAGCCCGATTACAGTACTAGTGACATCAAGTCAGAGTAAAAGGTTGTTTACTAACAAATTTTGCCAATATAACTTAAGCAATGTGTCCCATGTGTGTACACATTGCATGAATAGCAGTAATTATCTGGCCCCATAGAGATGGCCGCCTCCGTGCGGACTCCGAGAAAATGGCGCTGGAATGGCCTATATAAGGGCAGAAGCGTCATGGCGTCATATTACATCCCCCTGAGGAAGCCACGTGACCCTGTGGCGCAACGCGTAGGAGAAGGGGCTCTGACGTCACGACGCCACTATCAGCGGAACGGCGAGTACTGTCTTTGTGCGAGGGCACACATTTAAAAAAAAACGCTCTGTATTATCCTGTGGAATGTGAGTTTGCATTTTTCTGGAGACGCATTAAAACCTTTTATAAAGGATAAAGCACCATGTGGGAATTTTTCTTTTACATGGCCTAAATCGGAGGAGTACAGGGGAGGAAGAGGAGATAGGAGATAGACCCCAAACAACACCAGGGGAGATATCTATATCCATCCATCCAGCCCTCACAACCCAGAAGAAACTGGGAGGCCATCTAGTGGAAGGAAAGTAAAACCACAGTCTACCTCAACAACAATATACTTTCCATATATCTGTACAAACAGATTGGGACAATTATATGTCATTTAAGTTAAGGATAAGAAGCATATAGCTTGAATCACCACTTTAGGTTGCATAAGTGAAGTGATCATAATATATTACTTGCACAGTTTTTATCATTATTTATTTTTCCATATTTATTTGGTTATTGCACTTTATTATATGTATATTTTTTCATATATAACTGCTTTGGGCAATATTTGCATTTTTGCACACACACATTTTTTGCACATATACATTACTGTGTATGGAGGTTCCTTTGTCTATTTTCACGTCTTGTTTACATAATTTGAATATATCATTTCTTTCACATTATTAAATATTTTTTAATTATAATTCAATTAATTACAGCACTGGGAGTTTTTAAATTTAATTTAATTTAAATCACACCACCATGAATTAATATTTATGTAATATTTATTTAGATTTATTTATTTATATATATTACACATCATTAACATCCTCTGAGGAGCGCGACACATCCAATATTTTATTTACTTTGCATGTTGGATATCCATACTGTTTTCCAGCACTATTGTGGATTTTATACAGTTTCTTTTGGACTTTCACTCATGATTTATTTATTTCTATAGGAAGGACCACTATTATTATATTTTTTTTATTTATTTATTGGTCACGGTTTGCCGTGTTTTTCATCCCCATAGGGGTTACACGATTTATGTATCAGTCCCCTAGTGGACCAGGGGTGGCTGGTTTGAATTTTTCCCCTATTGGGAAAGGGTTCACTTGGTAGAGTACAGTTTGTACCTGTTCACCATCAGCAACACTTTATGCGATCCGTTTGGATCATCACTTTGGTTTGTCACTTTGTTTATGTCAATTTATTTGTCATGTGTATGCTTATTTTACATTTCTTGTGTTTTGTACTGTATTGTTAGCGCTTCACTATTTTTTTATAATTTATTGCACCTTTTGGAATCAGGTTAGGTGATAGCAGCTATTTGTTTGATCTAATTGTCCCCATTTAAGCGCAGGAGGGTATTTATATTTTTTTATGACCAAAGAACACCACATTAGAATCCCCCCCCTCGCCCCCCAAAAATAAAGGTGTAGGAAGGGGTATCCACCCTCCCCACCCCCCGGAAGCACTGGCACCACCTAGAAACCAGCAAAGTGGAGAGAGACAGAAGGTGTGGCTTGTCTATGTCTATGATATATATAAACCACAAACTAATGTATTGATCCCACCGGATTGAGTGACAGAAAACGCGAAACACCCAAATAGAGGGGAAAGGATGACATATTGTACAGTCCTCAGCTGGGTAAGTCTTCCTCACCATACGGCCCCCCACAGAAATCTATAAAGAGGTGCAACTCAATAATATAATAAATAATTCCCATTTCCTCACAAATCGCACACTTATATAGGGGGGTTTGTGGCTGAATTCTGTAATAAGGATGTCGGCAAACATATCGGAAACCTCCCACAATTTCTGCAATAGTTTAACCACTTCCATACCGGGCAATTTTACCCCCTTCCTGCCCAGGCCATTTTTCAGCTTTCAGCTCTCTCACACTTTGAATGACAATTGCGCGGTCATACAACATTGTATCCAAACTAAAATTTTATAATTTTCTTCACACAACTAGACCTTTCTTTTGGTGGTATTTAATCACCGCCGGGGTTTTTTATTTTTTGCTAAATTAACAAAAAAAAACCCAAAAATGTTGAAAAAAAAACAAGTTTTTCTTTGTTTCTGTTATAAAAGTTTGCAAATAAATAATTGTTCTTCATAAATTTAGGCCGAGATGTATTCTGCTACATGTCTTTGGTGAAAATAACCCAAATTAGGATGTATTTTTTAGTTTGTAGGAAAGTTATAGAGTTCACAAACTATGGGATATATCTGAAAATTGATCAATCCTGAAGTACTGACAGCCAATCTAATTTCTTGAGGTCCAAGAATGTCAGAACAGTACAGATATCCCCCAAATGTCAGAACAGTACAGATATCCCCCAAATGTCAGGACAGGACAGATATCCCCCAAATGTCAGAACAGTACAGATATCCCCCAAATGTCAGGACAGTACAGATATCCCCCAAATGTCAGAACAGTACAGATATCCCCCAAATGTCAGAACAGGACAGATATCCCCCAAATGTCAGGACAGTACAGATATCCCCCAAATGTGAGGACAGTACAGATATCCCCCAAATGTCAGGACAGTACAGATATCCCCCAAATGTGAGGACAGTACAGATATCCCCCAAATGTGAGGACAGTACAGATATCCCCCAAATGTCAGAACAGTACAGATATCCCCCAAATGTCAGAACGGTACAGATATCCCCCAAATGTCAGGACAGTACAGATGTCCCCCAAATGTGAGGACAGTACAGATATCCCCCCAAATGTCAGGACAGTACAGATATCCCCCAAATGTGAGGACAGTACAGATATCCCCCAAATGTCAGAACAGTACAGATATCCCCCAAATGTCAGGACAGTACAGATATCCCCCAAATGTCAGGACAGTACAGATATCCCCCCAAATGTCAGGACAGTACAGATATCCCCCAAATGTGAGGACAGTACAGATATCCCCCAAATGTCAGAACAGTACAGATATCCCCCAAATGTCAGGACGGTACAGATATCCCCCAAATGTCAGGACGGTACAGATATCCCCCAAATGTCAGGACAGTACAGATATCCTCCAAATGACCCCTTTTTGCAGAGTAGACAGTCCAACATACTTCATAAAAGGCATGGCGAGTTTTTCGAAGTTGTATTTTTTTTTAGTCGGAAAATGGAAAAATTAAAAAAATTATTTCCACTATTTTTTTTTTTTACATACTGTCACCAGTGCAGTACAGCATCATCATATAACTGGCATGGCGGTGATCAGGGACACTGACTGGTGACAGTGTAAAAAGAAAAAAAAAAATTTGAATTTTTTTAAAAATCATCAACTTGTCAAATCATAAACTTTCCGAACCAGAATTAATCATCCTCTGCAAAGGCCGTACATTCTGCCCAACCACCAAATTGGATCATTTACAAGTATTGTCAGATATGGAGGATTTCTTCAGGAGACTGAGGCTCAAAGAATATTTCCACAATAATGAAAGGAATCCTAGGACAATGGAGTGCTACACAAAGAAAAAGAACAGCTGCTTCACACCTCCACAAGGACGCAACCCCAAACTGGACACCTATATTGATAGCTTCAGATTGCGAGCTACATCCCTGATATCCACCCAGCAAAAGAAAATTCTGTACAATCTTTCACCACTACAGCGAAGGGCTATACACGATTTGCGCAACAATCAGGCCATCACCATCAAACCAGCGGATAAAGGGGGAGCAGTTGTTGTGATGGCTACAAACAAATACATAGAAGAAGACCAGAGGCAGCTGGAAAATGCCATTTACTATAAAAAAACTGGATTATGATCCGACCCCAGGACTTTACAAAGCAATTAAAACGTCTCATTAAAACACTTCCAGCCCACCTACATTCAGAACTTATAAAAGCGATTCCGAATCATCCAGAAATCGGGGACTTCTACATGCTGCCCAAAGTCCACAAGCCAGGAAATTCAGGCAGACCCATCATAACAGGTATGAATACACTCACCGAACAAATCTCAGGCTTTGTAGAAGAAATTTTAAAAACCGTTAGTTATGAATACTGCTAGTTTCCTGCAAGACATAACTGACTTTCTGAACAAGATCAACAACATCCAGCAATTACCATCTATTACACTTCTAGTGACTATGGATGTAGTATCCCTGTATAGTAATATGTGGATGTAGTATCCCTGTATAGTAATAATATATGGATGTAGTATCTTTGTATAGTAATATATGGATGTAGTATCCCTGTATAGTAATATATGGATGTAGTATCTCTGTATAGTAATATATGGATGTAGTATCCCTGTATAGTAATATATATGGATGTAGTATCTCTGTATAGTAATATATGGATGTAGTATCCCTGTATAGTAATATATGGATGTAGTATCCCTGTATAGTAATATATGGATGTAGTATCCCTGTATAGTAATATATGGATGTAGTATCCCTGTATAGTAATATATGGATGTAGTATCCCTGTATAGTAATATATGGATGTAGTGTCCCTGTATAGTAATATATGGATGTAGCATCCCTGTATAGTAATATGTGGATGTAGTATCCCTGTATAATAATATATGGATGTAGCATCCCTGTATAGTAATATATGGATGTGGTATCCCTGTATAGTAATATATGGATGTGGTATCCCTGTATAGTAATATATGGATGTGGTATCCCTGTATAGTAATATATGGATGTGGTATCCCTGTATAGTAATATATGGATGTGGTATCCCTGTATAGTAATATATGGATGTGGTATCTCTGTATAGTAATATATATGGATGTGGTATCCCTGTATAGTAATATATGGATGTGGTATCTCTGTATAGTAATATATGGATGTGGTATCCCTGTATAGTAATATATGGATGTGGTATCCCTGTATAGTAATATATGGATGTGTGGTATCTCTGTATAGTAATATATGGATGTGGTATCCCTGTATAGTAATATATGGATGTGGTATCTCTGTATAGTAATATATGGATGTGGTATCCCTGTATAGTAATATATGGATGTGGTATCCCTGTATAGTAATATATGGATGTGGTATTCTCTGTATAGTAATATATGGATGTGGTATCCCTGTATAGTAATATATGGATGTGGTATCCCTGTATAGTAATATATGGATGTAGTATCCCTGTATAGTAATATATGGATGTGGTATCCCTGTATAGTAATATATGGATGTGGTATCCCTGTATAGTAATATATGGATGTAGTATCCCTGTATAGTAATATCCCTCACAAGGATGGATTAGCTGCATGTCACAGATCTTTATCATCCTCACCAAACAACAAATACACGGCTGAGGATGTTACACAGCTCATTGAATTCATACTTACACACAACTACTTTACCTTCAATAAAGACATCTATCTTCAATGTATGGGCACTGCGATGGGAAGTAAAATGGCCCCCAATATGCCAATTTATTTATGGCTGACCTGGAGGAAAACCTCCTGAACAGCATGGAACAAAAACCATACAGATATGACCGCTATATTGATGATATTTTCATCATATGGACAGAAGGTGAAGAAAACCTAAAACAATTTTACTCATTGATCAACACTTTTCATCCATCAATCAAACTAAAATGGAATCCTCAAACACACGTCACCTTCCTAGACACCACAGTTTACATCAGGGATGATATGCTTCACACCTCAATATACAGGAAACCCACCGACAGATGCCACTACCTCCACAGTTCCAGCTTCCACCCCCAACACACACGAAACGTGCCGTCATACACAGTCAGGCCATTAGATACCACCGAGTATGTTCTGACCCAACACACGAAACGTGCCATCATACACAGTCAGGCCATTAGATACCACCGAGTATGTTCTGACCCAACACACGAAACGTGCCATCATACACAGTCAGGCCATTAGATACCACCGAGTATGTTTCTGACCCAAGAGACAGAGATAGACATCTTGGGACACTAGCAGACTCCTTCCATAAGAAGGGTTACAAGGACAAAACTATCAACACCGGCATAAACACAGCCTTGAGAACCCGAAGGGAAAATCTACTTCAGTACAAAGAGAAAAAAACAAACAACCGTGTACCTCTAGTAACCACATACAACCCAACACTAGAGGGGATAAGAAAAATAATCAAAGATTTACAACCCATCATAACAGAGGATGGAACTCTGAAAGAAATATTCCAGCAACCCCCAATACTGGCTTTCAGACACCCCCCAATACCGGCCTTCAGACAACCCCCCAATACTGGCCTTCAGACAACCCCCCAATACTGGCCTTCAGACAACCCCCCAACCTCAGAAATAAACTAATCAGTAGGAAACTTCCTTCTGATTATGATGTCACAAATAATGGAAGCGAAACCCTGCAATAAGAAACGCTGTAAACTGTGCAACCAAATCAATCCATCAAAAAGTGTCCGACACTCAAAAGGAATCTTCAGTATCTCCGGATCATACAGCTGCACCTCCAGTCATGTTGTGTACCTTATTCAGTGCAGAAAATGCAGCAAACAATCTTATGTTGGCGAAACAGGACAGAAGTTGCAAACAAGGATGAATCTGCACAGACAGACCATCAAGGAACATAAAGAAGATGACCTCTGCACACCTGTAGGACACTTCACACAACCAGACCACACAATGGGAGACCTCAATGTTTTAGTACTTAAAGGAAATTTCAAATCCATTCAGGAAGGAAAAACTTTTGAACTAAGAATGATAACTGTATTTGAAACAAGAGATAACGGCCTGAATTTGGACCTGGGATTCCTCACTCATTATCCAACATTTTTATGACTATTAGCTGTAGCTTGACTCCCTCTGTGTGAGTGTAGTATCCCCCCCCTCGCTTTGACTGCATCTTATCTCTAGCCTCCTTTTTTTTTTTTTATCTTTTCATCTCTTCTAACATTCTGCTAACTTTGTGAGTAGTACTGCTTAGACCTTGAAGAAGGGGACATTCCCCGAAAGCTTGTCCTCAGAATTGTATGTTAGTGCAAATAAAAAAAGTATCACGGACAGTACTCAATTTTTTAAAAAACATTTTTATTATTTTTAATTTTTTATTACATTTTTTTTTTACTTTTTTTTAAGATTTTTTTTTTCATATTTCACTATGACCAAAGTAGTACAATGTTACCATAGTAACATTGTACTACTTTGGGGAAGTGATCAGTATTTTTTTTTTTTACACAATTTGCTTATAGCAAAAATTACTTTGCTATAAACCTGAATGACATCGATTCATTCAGGGCTTTTTTTTTTGTGCTTAGCTGTGATTTGGCCACGGCTAATCACATGATACAACTGGGCTGTGATTGGCCCAGCTTGTGCATGTGATCGCTGTGACCATTCACACTAGTATTACATGGATGGCATGATTGAAGCCATCCATTGTATACAACTGTCATGTGACCTGCTGTGATTGGTCACAGCAGGTCATATGGTACCGGCAACAGGGCCGGTACTCAGATCTGTCATTGGCCGTGTCCGAGGTACACGGGTGGTGACAGATCGCGCCGCTGCGCGGCTCTGCAGGCGCGCAAACTGCGCATGCCCGAGAGGACGCCATATGGCGTCCACCCGGAACGCTGAGGGATTTTGCCGGCTGCCATCTGGCCATAGGCCGGGCAGGTAAAGGTTAAATATGATATATACAGAAGATGGTAAATGTTTTGTTTCCTTAGGATGGCTGGATTCCCATTAATCTAATAAAATCTCTCCCTATTGATACCCTTACACTCCATATTGGTTGTATAAAACTGTCAGACACTTACCTGTTCTGAAATCTGTCCAGAAAAGTATCCAATATAAAAGCAACATTGACAAAACAAAACTGATTAGAAGAGAAAATATCACAGGTATCGTTCCTACA